TTTTGTATTTTTGGATCATTGTGTGCATTGAAAGAAGTGGAATTATATCCTGATGACCGATGATCCAAAATTCACAAAGTGCATGAAGAAACAGTTAGAGCAAATTGGTTATCCATTACTTGTTAGTTACCACGCTTTATAGTTTTGATACTTGGTTATCAAAAATAATTTTCCTTATTAGATAGATAAGTGGCTCAACACACATGTTCATTGTGTGATATTTTTTTACATGCATATATATAATTTTGTATCTTGACCTAAAGTATTAGAAAGTAGAAACTTTACATTTCGTGTCGTTTCTACGTTTTACGTTTCTACCACCCTTTCCGTTTCTACGTAGAAACTCGAGTTTGACAACATTGTGTACGTAGGAAATAAAATTATCTCCTACAATATTAAACTAGGGGCGGACCCATGGGGAGCTATAGTGGGTCGCCAACCCCCTCTGAAATTTGAAGAAAAATAAATAAATTGTGTTATTTCTCATCTCAACAATGCCTTGTAGAATTTGATTTATCTAACAGGGCAGGACATGTGAAGCATTTCTCTGAAATTATTTAGATGTTCCTTCTTCCGCCACATTTCAGGCTTCCATGGTGGTGCCTTGTCTTCTTCAATCTTCACTATTAACGAAGCATGAAATAGGTGTTACTTTTCATCCTTCAACAATGACAATGATAGCTGAACGCAGATCCCTGATAACTAGAACGACATGGTTCCAATCCTCGACACTCTCTTCCCCATTTTACTCATACTCGCGTCTCTAAGCTCCGCAGCTGACGTTGTAGCAGCTTGCGAATTCACTTTCCTCAACGGAAATAAGCTTTACAATTACACACCTCTCATTTGCAACTTCCCTCACGGCATACTCAGCGAAGACAGACAGATGCACCCTCTCTTTCTCTCTCTCTTTCTCTGCATCCAAATGAACATGTGTTTCCACTTCTGTTGATCTAACGTAGTTTCATTTTTTCGGTTTTGGTGAAGTCTCTTTATTAGGATCTTCTATTCTTTTTTATTTTTTTGTTATTTTTATTCATCTTTAGAAACGTTTCGGGGATAACAATATATATTTCATTTTGCATGAGTTTGATTTAGAATGGAGAATTAATATTTCATTGTGAGATAACAATATGTATGTAACGTCTGGCTAAGGATCAATAATTATCCCCACAAACCAACACAAAAATTTTTAATATGCTTTGTTCTCATTCTCACACTTCTTAAGAAAATTTCTCAGAAGGTCACTCATCCCAGAATTGCTCCAACTCAAACACACTTAACTATGGTGTTCTTAAATTATAGGCTATCGTTCAGGTGTTCTTTAAGTCTTCCTCAACTGTACAGTCCCATTCGTTCAGGTGTTAATTACCCCACTCGCTGGAAGCCTGTCAGGAGCCTACCATCACAACCCTTATACCTTAATGGGTATGGACTCCAGGCACTAGGATTTTTGACTGGTAGTACATTCCGACCCACGTACCATAGGACTATCTATTCTCCGCCCTCGTCAGCGCCTGAGATGTTACATTTCAACCCACGTACCATAGGACTATCTATTTTCCGCCCTCGTCGGCGCCTGGGATGTTACATACCCACCAGTTTCCACTTGGTTCATCCTCGAACCACACCGAACTAGGAGAGAGGCCTTGCTCCGATACCACTTGTAATGCCCGGCTACTTACAGGATCAATGACTGTCCCCACAAACCAACACGAGACATTTCAGCTTGCTTTGTCTTGAGAAAACTTCTCAGGAGGTCGCTCATCCCAAAATTGCTCTAAGTCAAGTACACTTAAATATGGAGTTCTTAAGTTATGGGCTACCGAAAAGTAGATGCATCTTGTTAGTATAGGTAGTACATATTAATTTCTTTTAGTCATCCTCATCTGCACAGTCACGTACCTGCACAGCCACATACTTGCACAGCCTTTGGATCCCTCTTGTTCGGGTGTTAACTCGATTCATTCATGTACCCTTCTTGATAGAAGTCTGCTGGGAGCTCACTGTCATAGCCCTCCTACCTTAGTGGGTTACGTACCAAAGGACTATCTTTTCCCCGCCGTCATCAACGCCAGGGATGTTACATGCCCACAAGCTTCTACTTGGGAGAGAGATTCTGTTCTGATACCTCTTGTAATGCCCGACTACTTACAGGATCAATGACTGTCCCCACAAATCAACACGAGACTTTTCAACGTGCTTTGTCCTGGCTCACAAACTTTCTGAGAAAACTTCTCAGGAGGTCACCCATCCCAGAATTGTTCTAACTTAAGCACGCTCAACTATGAAATTCTTAAGTTATGAGCTACCGAAAAGTAGTTACATCTTGTTAATATATGTAGTACATATTAATTCCTTTAAGCTATCATCAACTGTACAGTCTCAAACCCGCACAACCTCTAGATCCCTCTCATTCGAGTGTTAATTCGATTCATTCATGTATCTCTCTCGTTGGAAGCTTTCCAGGAGCCTACTGTCACAACCCTCCTACTTTAGCGGTCTGAACTCCAAGCACTGAGATTTTCGACTTGTACAGTTCAACCCATATACCAAAGTACTATCTATTCCACATCCTCATTAACGCCCGAGATGTATAATTATGCTTGATAATGAGGATGAAGACCCTTCTTATATATAATTATTGTTTAAGACACCCCCAGAGGTTTAGAATTTTCTCCTTAATTGATGGCCCATTACATAATAGATCTAAACTTAAATAGCATATCCAGAACAAGATGAATGAGCAATAAGTTAAAATTAATAAGTTTTTTATCTCAATGTTAAGTATAAATATTTCTATCCTAAAATTTTCTAAGAGTCTTGAATAATTTTTTCACGAGCCTTAAGCAGGAGCCTTGCTTAAAGCCTTTCCTACGCCACTTATAATAGTGACCTTAAACCTGTCTCAATCGTGGAATGATAATCGGCGCAAGAAAGTTGCTTGATCCTTATGCTTTAATTGAAAATAGTAACAAACATCTCTGAGTTTCAATTACATATATTTACGTAGTTTGTTTTTTCAGGAAAAAAGTGTATATTAATTAAAAATGGGATTTAAAAAAATGTGATGATTAAATAATTTTTAAAAAAGCAAAAAGTTTTAAAAAATAGATTAATACATTTTTTGAAGCCAAAAGAATAACTTAAAAAATTCTATCATAAAAATATTATTTTATTGTTATATTTAGGATAATTGCAAATACATTTTTATCTCAATTAAAACAAAAATTAGCCAAAAAAAATCCTCATTATATAACCTAAAAATATAGTAATATGTTACCGAATATATATATATATATATATGAGATATGGAATACAACTTACTATCAAAGTGCTTTTACGTGACGATATCTAAACTGGGTTCTAATTAATTTTTTATTTTGATCGAAATCTCACTATCAGTTTAGAAGAAGAAAAGAACGAAAAAAGTGAGAATATGTGTTCAATATCGTCTTTGGGGAATTTAAAGTTTTAATATCGAGACTTGCCGCTGAATTGGACTAGTCTCGAAGCGATGAATTAATTGAAATATCTAAAAAAAATAAAAAAAATCTAACCTGAGAGTAGTGCTAGTTTATATTCATCGTATTTGAGAAGCAAAGAAATAAAATATTGTGTAGTGCGAACCTTACTTCAAATGAAAGTGATTGTTGGTTGTTCATTGATTTTTTTTTTTTTCGGTAAACCTTGTTCATTGATTTCAAATAAAAGTAAACTATTTCCTTCTTCCAATTGAGATATGCTTAAAGTTTATATAATAATTAAATAATTCATTAAATAATTTTAATTTTATTAAAATACATTTATAATTTGATTAAATTAATTTTTCATTTCATTTAATGGAAGTACCCATTGATAAGAATAAAATAAAAAAATTATTCTTAATTTTTTAATATAACAAATTAAACAAATATTTTTTTCTGTAAAATGACTAATATTTTAAAATAGGTGGTGTATTTTATATTATGAATTTTAAATGTACATCTACAAAATAAAACGTATTGAGAATTATTTGTTTTAAAATATTAGTCGTTTGAGATTCTTCTAAAATCATTAAATACTCTTAATTAAAAAATGACTGACTTTGACTATATTATCCTTTCACTCTATTAATGCTATTTTTTTTTATTTAGTGAAGATATCAAGAAATAAGAAAAAAAATTAAAAAAAATCTCTTCTTAATTTTTTAAAATAAAAAATAAAATGAAATAAATTTTCTTCTCTCAGATGATTATATTTTAAAGTGAAAAAATAATAATAATGTTTTAGATATTAAAAAAAAAATGTCTTGCTGCATTCAATTGATTAGTGATTATATAAAACAAAGTGAACACCAAACTCAGAAGGTGCACATGCAACTGTGAACAAGGACAAAGCTTCTTGCTCTTGCGCTAGCTGCAATTAATTGAAGTATGGAACATAATTATCAATGTGTGCAATAAAAAGTACGTAGCTGTGGATGATGATGTACAAAGAAATCTGGGGCATAGCTGCCACTGAACAACCATATCTGAAGGAGTGAGACGACACATGTTCCTTGGTAAGGTCCTTTTACATAAATTTGGAGCCTACATCTGTTGTGGTCACGAAAACAAGGAGCCTCAGATTCTGGTTTTGGCATTAAATTGGGACCCATGTGGTCATGTTCACAAAGTTACATAAAAAAATCAAACATCATCCACAACCAGGGACATCTTGGTACTTTAGCAGTATCATTTAAAATTTTCAAAAAAATTAAAATGTTATGCCACGTCATCGATCCGTGTGTCATTCTAATGGCAAGACCCCTCCGTTAGATCACCGTTCTTTCCGTGATTCCTGGCCGTCAATATTTTCATGATTGAAAACATCAACAACAACAACAGGGAGAAAATAAAAATTAAAAAATTAAAAAATTAAAAAAAAGAAAGAAAGAAGCTTTATTGTTTTTTTTTTTTTTTTTTTTTTTTTTGTATTTTATTTCATTTTATATTATTTATTATCTTCCTTCAAATCAAGATCCTCAAATCCTTGCAGGTTCTGCTCAAACAAAAACATTTCTGTGAAAGCTGTGTTTGTTACAAAGGTTGTTGCTGTGGGAATCCGAGGTTGGAAAGCTTCAAACCCTGCAACACAACTTTAATGGCGGCTAGAGAGGTTATGAATAAACCTCCTTCACTTCCTCCATACCCTGAGGTAAGTTCGTTCCAGCAACCATTTCTAAAAATTTCACCTTAATCGAATTTCATAGCTAGAATTGATCTAAAATCTCCACTTAATTATTCAGCCCCTGCTGATTTTCACTTTTAATTATCTTCTTTTCAACTTTCTAGAAAAATCTAGGGAAGATTAAAAAATAAATAAAAAATTCCTTTTAACCAGGATTACGTTCAGGGCTATTGATCTTTAGGGGATTTTTTCCCTCCACTATTCTGGTTATGCTTGCATTGGAATTTCAGAAACGTAGAGAAAAAAAAATGTTTTTTTTTTTTTGGGTAAAATTTTTCACAAGGAAAGAATTGTGAAGACTGAGATTGGGTGTGTGGGTGTGTGTTTGTGTGTCAATTTTTCAGATGATTTTGAAGGCAATTGAAGCACTGAACGAAGAGAATGGTTCCAACAAATCATCAATATCAAAGTATATAGAATCCACATACGGTGGATTGCCTCAGGGTCACAAGGCACTGCTCAATGTGCACCTTGCAAAAATGAGGGACAGTGGGGAGCTAGTGTTTTGGAAAAACAACTATACAAAGCGTGACCCAAACGCGCCACCGCGGCGGGGCCGTGGTAGGCCCCCCAAGCCCAAGGTCCCGCTGCCGCCGGGTACCATGTTGGCACCGCCTAGGCCAAGGGGCCGGCCCCCAAAGGACCCAAATGACCCACCAAGACCACCCAAGGTCAAGGCTTCAACCGGGAGTGGCAGGCCCAGAGGGCGGCCCAGGAAGATGGCTCGGCCCGCCGGAGGCTTTGGCGGAGCTCCGCCCCCAGCCGCTAGTGGGAGGCCCAGAGGTAGGCCTCCAAAGATGAAGTCTCCTTTTACAGAAATTAGTGTTTAACATTTAGAGCCTTGTATTGGGTTTAGGCCTTGCATGGAAATGGAAGTGTTATGTACATTTGTGTAGTTGTAGTTGCTGTGAGCCTTTGATGGTTTGTAAATTGTAATTGTGAAAATAGGAGAATGGTTAGAGTTGATGAACTCTCTAAAATTCTTGATTTGAAGAATATGTGGGTGTTATTATTCATCTTGAATTATTATTTTTTCTCTCAATCTTCACATGGTTGCTTCTGCATTCAGCTCGATTAGCATTGTTGAATACTGAAAATTTTAATCAGACATTTTTTACTTTAAACATTATACTCAAAATTTATTATGCGTAGAGTGAAAATAAATGTGTAAAATCATTTTTTGAAAATGGACAATGTTATGGAGCAGCTCAACTCATGTATAGCAAACATTGTCCAAGAAGGCATTCAACAATGGAATCCACTGTTTCTTACAAATAGTAATGAGGGGTATTGTGGGTTTAGGTGGCTCTTGTGGTTGTATTGTGGAACAGGGACCAAAATGTCAGTGTTCACTAATTTTTTTACCTAAATGCCACGCGAACAGTGTTATTTTCCAATCTGTCACGGGGGCAAGTTCGCTTCCCGGTGTAGCGAACTCGATTTGCTGACGTGTCACGTTTCTAGTGGATACTAACTTGATTTTAACCAAGTTCGCATACATGGTAGGCGACCTTCATTTTTTTTTTTTAAATTTGATACTTGTTATTTACTAAAAATGTGACACGTCAGCAAACCGAGTTCGCTACACTGGGAAGCGAACCTACCTCCGTGGCAGATTGAGAAATAACATTGTTCGCGTGGCATTTAGATAAAAAAGTTAGTGAACAGTGACATTTTGGTCAGTATCCCTTGTATTGTGGCATGATAATTACAAGTAGAATTGATGTATGAAAGGGTTCTGAGGGGTATATATAGATTAAGAATATTTTCTAATAACGTGTGTGATGGAGGAATAACTGTTTCTGTCCTTGTAAGACAAGTATCCTCAATTGGTGCAAAAGGTTTATATGCATGGGAGTGAGATTTAGTATAATGAGGTCATATTTGTCTCAATTTAAGGATGCAGTAATATAATCCCTGAAGTTGGTTTTAAAGATTGATTCAATAAACTAAGCCTGTGATTAGTCCAGAATAGTTATCAACATTATTTGTAGACAGAGTAAGCTAGTCAATGTCTCATAAACATGGAAAATTTTATCAACAATATTGTAGATTGAAGAGAGTGGTTAATTGAATTTAATCCTCTGGGGCTGTTTGGTGTGACGTATAAGGTCTGATAGTATAAGTTTATACTATACGTTATGACATTTTCAGTTATTTGGTGTGGCCATCGTATAGTATAAGCTTATACAGCAGGAATCCTTAATACATCAAAATGATGTATAACTTAATCCGGCCTAAGGGAGAGGGATAAAGTCTGATAAGAAGTTGGTGTATTAGCATCGTTGACCAGTGTAATTTTCAAAAATTAATATATTATTTTAATATTGATATATTAAAATAAAAAATAATTTTTCAATATATTAATTTTTAAATATTGAGTATTTTTATTTTTATAAAAATTAATTTATGTTTTGAACACACTGATCAATAAATTTTTATAAAAATTAATATCATATGACATTTTTTTGAAGGATTATATAAATTATTTATTAAAAGATATTTATTTTATCCTATATAATATTGTACAGTGTATTATGAAATACTAGGTGATATTATCTTATACAATATATTATTTTATACAATACTGTGCCAAATGTTGAATAGTATTAAAATTCAATTAAACTTTATACTATCAAGTCTTATACTATCAGACCTTATTCTGTACTATCCCACAACATGCCTTGGTTATGAGAAGTGTGGATTTTTGAAACGTGCCATGGGTGACATTTACCAATTAAGAGAATGATACTTGGGGAACTTCAGTTCATTAGTCATGTCAAGGTCTTTCCACCATCTGTTAAAAAAATAGGTTGGTGGTTACTAGCATTTAAATAGGGGTTTATTGAGTCTATGTTATTAGAGATAAATTTATTTTTTATATATAAAAAATATGTGGAGTTTATATTTTTAAGGAAGATTATATTTATTATTTATTTTTTTTACTACTAAATTTTAATCGTTGATTTTCGTCAATTTAACGGTTATAATTTACTAAAATTAATAATTAATTAATAAGTATGACTCCATAAATTACAACCGTTAGATTGACACGGAAATCAACGGTTAAGATTTGATAATAAGGGGTAGTAAGAAAAATAGGTAGTAAGCATAACCTCTTTAATATTTTTTATTTCTTTCTTATCTTCTCGTATGGATTCACATGATCTTCACACACTTTTATGTGTATAAAAGATAAAATTTATTTCTTATAACATAAGAAATATTAACCGTTTTAAATAACCATCAGGAAACAAAAAAATAAAATGACTTCTAAGGGATGTTTGGTATAAGATTTTTTGGTTGAAATGCTGGGAAAGTGGGGTGAATTTTTTTTTTTTATCATATTTGATATAAGTAAAAGTAAAAAAATCTCAGGATATTCTTTTTTTATCATTTCCATTTTTAGCTACACATGGAAAAAAAAAATTCATCTCATCATGGTATTATTTTTTTTCCACCAAGTGGGAAACACATTTTCAATTTTGAGAAAAAAATGCTCTTATACAATATATCAGCAGATGTGTAAAAATGGGTAATTTTGTCATTTTGGTTCATATTTCCATCAATATTTTACAATCAACCAAATATAGCATCAGTAAAATTAATCCAATTTTTTCGGAAAAAAATTTGACCTACTAAACACCAATTTGTAACTTACAAGAGAAAAAAAAATTCCACCATATTCTCGAAAATCTTTTTTTTCGAGAAAAAAATATCTACTCTACCAAATACCTCGTATTATTATTAGCTACTTAACTGGCTTCGAAACTTCATTGTTTTCATTCTGGTTCATGAAAGAGAATGGATTTCATCAACTTCCTCAAAACATATCTTTCCATTCTTTGCCTTAAGGGGATATTTGGTAGGGGAGAAAAAAAATTTATCCGAAAATCATGATTTTTATGAATATGATCGGAATTAAGTTTTTCGAGAATATTACCAAAAAGTTATTTGATAGGCTAATATATTTCCGGAAATATTAAGTTAGTTTTCTTAATACTATGTTTGGTTGTATTAAAATTTTCATTGTCATAAAAAAGTCTTTATGATTATTCCCTTTTATATAATTTTTATTTTTTTCGTAAAGAAGGGCCTACTCCCAAATTTATCCACTGCAACCCAGCCGTTGCTTTAAGGCAACGGGAAAAAAATGAATAACATTTTTTGTGTGGTAAAAATAACATTTTTTATATGTAATAACATGACATGATGTGATATGATAAAGTATTAATCTTTATTTATAGTAATAATATACTTTTAATCATAATTAAATAAAAACATGAAATATAAAAGAATATAAAAATTATTCTTAGGAGATAATCTAAAATACTTAAAAATATTATAAAATGTAATCGTGATATTAGAAATATCATCTAGATATTCTAAAATAATTTTATGATTTCAAACATATTGATTGTTGATTTGAATAAACATGATTAGCTTCTTTGCATAAATAGAGAATAATAAGTCATCTAATAATTAGATGTTTGATATATGGTAATTGTATTGAGTATTCTTTTTTTTAATGATATTATTTTTAAATTGTGAACTTTTACAAGTTTTTATAATAATAATGCATGAAATTTAAATTCACTTATTATTATAATAATATTCATGTTATTTATTAAAAAACTCAAAAATGAAATGATATAAATATAAAATGGAGAAGAAGCACATGAGAGGAATGTAACAAGGAACATTATTTATGTACTTTAAATTTTAATTAACATGTATATTATAAAGAAGACTTGAAATTTAAGTCTTATTGAAATTTATTTACTTTATTTCGTAATATCAAAGTACAAATCATTAAATCAATATAGAGTGTTAAGTAGCGGTGCTAAATGAGCCAGAGGCTTTTTAGGGATCTTTGTCTCCTCTCGTGAAGGCCTGAACTTATATGTCTAAAAATGATTATTGGTACCAGACTTGAACTTGTATAAAAGCTCGTTTAATAAAAAGGCATCAGGTTCTAATTCAAAAGCTCGCTCTTAGAGCTTCTCAGGCTGACCTAGTATATATATATTTTTTATACTACTTGTAGTACTCTCTCTTCCTCCTCAATCCATTTCACCCCATTTTATTGGTTAAGTAGATTTTTTGAATGATTTTGTTCTATATTATGCCGTTTGGATACACATTGAATTTATGATATTTATGGAATTACTAGTGTTGTTGGTTGTATATTCTGTTTGGATAAATTTTGTTATTTTTTTTTTTTTAAATAGGTTAAACCAGACTTTTATTTTTTATAAATAAGTCAGGCCACATGCCGATAATAATATTTATAATAGATAACAATACCACTAATGTTAAGTTACTTTTACAAAATACAAATACTTCAACCAAAATAAAATTACGATCCAGTACAAATTTTCACAACTAAATAAAAATATAGATTTTACTGGATAGTTGAAAACACACATTTAATGAAATATTTATGTTTTTGAGAATTTGAAAAAGGCCGATGAATTGAGGGTTCAATTTTTTGACTTTTAATAGTTCTACCAATCCTAGTTGAAGGGCTTACTTTTAAGAAAACATGTTTATCTTCCTCAAATTTTAAAAGTCGTCTTCCCTTATCTGCATAGCTTATTTGCCTACTTTTTTTTAATACATTTATTTTCCTACTTTGAGTTGTATGCATCTTAACCCTGATTAATTTAATTTTCGCTGAAGATTCCTAAATCTATATTTCCTAACATAAAGTGATTCATAGTGCGCTAATCCCTAATGAAAATGTGCTTCTTATTTGTATGCTATGAATACCGAACATGTTGGTATTACTTAATCTAAAAAAGAAAAATATTCTTATTACTTTTGGAGCTTGTTGCGGTCCATGTTCATGTAAAATCTAAACCAAATACATTGGAAAGGTTGTTACTTGTGGCTAATCTTGTTGTGATGGATAATGGTTACTAATTTTAACATCAACAATGTGGACTACTGATTTAGTGCGTTTTGTAAATTATTATGTTGATTGGCCACATAATGCGTTCGTAATATTCCATTTTTATTTTTATATATTAATTTTAAGTTATTTATATAATTTGTATTCGAAAAGTAAAATTAGTAGTTATCCACATCCTGTCACGTATAAGCAGATTGCGTTAGTATCATGGTTTTGACATGAATAATTATTTCTATCATATTCATTTATAAGATTTTTGTGTTCATATCAAATTTATATAACATGAATTGCTAACCCGGTTTTCAATTTTAATCAAACCATCACTGGTAATTCATTTGAGTTTTAAAAAGTATATCTTTCATTTTCTTGCAATTTGGTGGAATTGGATATTTGTTGTTATTATTAAAAATTGTTAACATTAAAATTGTAAAATATTATTTATCACATGAAAAAAATTAAGTTAGTTTAATTGTATGTTAAGATTAATCTTTTTTTTAGGTAGTATTTGATAGATGTTAAAAGATATAATACAAGGGATAAGTTATTCTACCTATTATTTTTTCTGCCTACCACCTTCCAACATCGTTAGATCAAAATTTTAACTAACATTTATTTTTCTCTATCTTCTTGAAATTTTGATCTAACGATGTTGGAGAGTGATAAATAAAGGTAGGCAGAAAAAATAATAAGTAAAATAACATATCCCATAATACAATCATTCATCTTATTTTATCAAACAATTTAAACTTTTTGGGAACATTTAGTTGTGTAACATACTATTATAGTTTGTGACTAAACGGTCTAAAATTTGATCCTTGCCGGTCGTGCCTTATAATCTAATAACGAAAAAGAGAGATAGGAATTTTAAAAAAAGTTGTAGCAAACATATTCATGTTAGGATACAAAGCTGGATTCTGGAATAAAAAAAAAAATAGGATACGAACTTGAATTTTGGTGAAAATAAGTATTCTTGCAAAAATTTTAATCTACAGCCACAACAGAGCTATTAAAGTCATAAATAGCACTCAGAAAGGAAGAAACATGGTAAAAATTAACTGGATGCAGCTAGAGGTGGCAAAGCGGGCTGCCCGCCCCGCTCCGCACCTGCCCGCCAAAAAGCGGGCTGGCTCGTCCCGCCCCGCCATTGAAGGTGGACTAGATATCTCTGCCCGCCCCGCCCCGTTTGGGCGGGCTGCCCGCCAAGCCAGTCACATTTTACACTAAAATTTAAAAAAAAAAAAAAAAAATCAGCCCGGACGGGCGGGCCCGGCGAGCCCGGCGGGCTCGGCCCATTTTGTCAGCTCTAGATGCAGCACTATCATATGGTAATAACTCTTGTGGTATTAGGTTGTTGGGGGATGGGATGCACACAGGGAAACAACTTTCTTACCAGGGTTTCCGCAACTATTTTCAGAAGGAAATTGTAGTAACATATAATCTTGCACCAGGGAAGGCTTGGATGTCTTTTTCTTACCAAGGGGCTATTCTTTAAGATTTTTTCATCTTATTTTTACAATTCAATGTCATTATCTATTTATTTTTATAAAAATCAGGATCTGAGTCCTCTCTTGTTAAAAAGAAATGACGTGATAATGTGAAAAATCATAATCATACAAAGATAAATAAATAATAATAAAAAAAGAGAGAAAAATATTAAAGTAATTAATTACAAAATCATAATCGTTTATTTATCTTTGTATGATTATAATTTGGCTTTAATATTTATACAATGAATGTAGATAAGTTATCTACATGCACTCCCAAAACGACATCGTCTTGAGATGAAATATTAAAAAATTATAATTAAAAAGACTATTATAAACCTGAAATAAATTATAATTACAAAAATATCTTGATTTTTGTACCAAAACGACGTCGTTTTGAGTTCAAGGTAGATAACTTATTTTGCAGAAAAAAATGAAGTCTTATAATTTTCTCACGTGACCATATATATATATATATATTTTTTTTAATATGAGAGGATAAATTTCTTAAAAATCAACTGTATCCAAAATCCTAACTAAACTGGACTAATTCGATTTTGGGTTTCTAAAATTTCTTTCCTTTTAGCTTTGTAATTTGATAAATGACTCAACTTGATAAATGAGCACACCCATAGGACTTTTGTTAATTTGTTAGGATGCTCATCTCGAGTCTTGAACAAAACTGGTTTTCATCTAAAAAATAAATAAAATAAAGTGACATCTTTTTGTGGCATCATAATATTCCCCACTTTCATACCCCAAATTTTATTTAAAAGAAAAAAAGAAAAGAAAAGTGAGTGAGAATTAAGTTGGTCACCTCATCCAAAAAGCAAGGAAATGCCAGCAGAACAGGGTACATTAAAAAATCTGTGAACTTGCACTTACCTGACATGTCATCAATCCAAGTGACCCCTTCATAATGGATCCTCAACCGTGGGATCATCATATATTTCATAAATCTAAACCGTCCATGATCCCAAAAAGATGAAGGAGAGGTGGGTGAAAAAGAGGAAGGGCCTTACATCTTTTTCTTTATTATTTCCCCCCTCTTTTTCTTCGTTTTGCCAAATTTTTTAATTTATTTATCCTCCTTTAAATCCAGCCCTCAGATATTTGCAAGTGCCACCCAAATCATAACTGTTCCTTTTCGTGAAAATTTTGAAAACTTCCTCCGTTAAAGTTTTGTTTTTTTTTTAATATATATATATATTTTTGGCGTGGTGTGGTGTGGCACTGTGCTCTCTTCTGAGCTGCTTCACCATCTGCAACTTCAATGGCAACCGAAGAGGTTAATAAGCCTCCATCACTTCCTCCATACCCTGAGGTAAACTCAGCTACCTCCTTCCTTTTTCTCCTTTTCCATAATTGAATCTTGAATTTTTTTTTCCTAGTAGAGATACTTAATTCTAAGCTATTGAATTGATTTATAAACATTTTTACTTATATGGCTCTTTTTTAACCCAAGAAAAAAATGTTTTTTTTTAACTGTTTACTTACGTATTCGTTTGAGTTCCAAAGCTCTTTGAGGAATCCTAGGATAAAAAAAGGTCATAACTTTTTTTTATTTTTTCTTACATGATAATTTTAAGGTGCTGATCTGGTTTTGTTCATTGATTTGGATGTGTTGAGCTAAATTATGGGCATTTTAGAAATGAAAGTGAAAAAGAAATTTGAGGTTACTGAGGAATTTTTAAGCAAAAGTAGTACACCCAAAATTTTGAGTTACCATTTTGTCTTTTTTCTAGTGAATTTGACTCCAACTCATCTTAAGTACTTAACTTTCTCACTGTATCGTTAACCTGAGCTATGATTTTCACAAGATGCAAGCTGTGTTGCTGAAAAAGACCACATTTTCAAGACACCCACCAAATTGTTGACCCTTGTTGTTGATTCTGCTGTTGTGTTTTTTTGTGTGTTTGTGTGTGTGTGTTTCAGATGATACTGAAAGCAATTGAAGCCCTGGGAGACAACAATGGTGCCAACAAGTCAGCGATATCAAATTACATAGAGTCCACCTATGGTGAGATGCCAGAAGGCCACTCAACGCTTCTGTCTTACCACCTTAAGAAGATGAAGGATAGTGGTGAGCTTGTGTTCTTGAAGAACAACTACATGAAGCCTGACCCAAATGCCCCACCAAAGAGAGGGCGTGGAAGGCCACCAAAGCCTAAAGATCCACTTCCTCCAGGTACTGTTTTGTCCCCACCAAGGCCTAGGGGTCGCCCTCCAAAGGACCCTAATGCTCCACCAAAGCCACCAAGTGCCAAAGTGTCAAGTGGAAGTGGTAGACCAAGAGGGAGGCCTAAGAAGATTGCTAGGTCTGGTGTGACATCAACAAACAGTCCTAGTGGAAGGCCAAGGGGTAGGCCTCCTAAGGTGAAGCCTCAGATGACAGAAGTGAGTGTTGAACAATAGAACTCTATTGTTGATCAAAAGTAGTGTGATTTAAATCTTGAACTCATCTTCCTCTTTAGAAGTTGTTGTGGTCTTAGTTTTTTTAGTGTGTCAATGTAATTTCTTTGTAAAATTGTGTAGTGGGGTTAGCTTATGAGGAGGCTTTGTTGGTTTCAATTATTAAAAGAGGACAATGACTACTAGAGTTGATGGTGAACTGTGTTGTCCTTGTGGTTTTCTAAGTTCTAACTTGAAAATTCTCATAATGTGGAAAAGGGTGTTGTCCCTTGTTATTGGTTATTCTTGTTGATGATTTAGTTGGAAATCCAATCTAATCCATGATGAATAGGGGGGTGAAACACTGTAGCTAAATTGTAGGGAGATGATGTAAAGAATTTGACTTTGTTGTGCTTGATGATGTTTGGACTTTAACGCATGCAAACTACAAGAACCTCGTACGGTACTTGTTCTTATCTGTTCCCTTTGATTAGACCCTAGTGTATGGATAATTTTATGGATGTTGAATGTTTTACTTTTTATACCACGCGTCTACATTGAATTTCATTAACCATTTTTTCTCTTCTGTGATTGTACTGAATAATAACCTATATTTTGTTCTTACACCATCATTCTTAGAATCTTAAGCTACGGTCATAGGTTTTGGTATGGGATAAAAATTCCGAAAATTTAACTACACGACAACTAGTCGATAAAATCTATGCAGTAGCAGTAAGTATTCAAACGAATTCTCTCCGATGCTATAATATAGCAACTAGTCTCGTATTATTGTCATGTATCATTGCACTGGCATCCAAAATAGTAAAAAAGTGAGATCTTATCAGGGTGTATTTGGTAGATGAGTTAATTTGGATTTGATGGGAAAGTATGGGTGGGTATTGAAAAATATCATGTTTGTTACAAGTTTGTGAAAAAAAAATCTAAGAGATTAGAAAGCCTAGGCAACTGAGTTCTGTGTTTTTTTTTTTTTATGAAAGTCACTGTTCCAAAATATCACTTGAGATTTAGTATTTTGGAATAACGGGAAAATGAAAAAATGGAAGCGAAGTTATGTTCCAAAATACGCTCGCTATATCTCTGTTTAGTTTATAGCACACTTTCATCACTGGTTAATCTATTTTTGTGAAATTTTTATAACAGTATATTTTGTGCAAGACATTGTTGCTTCCTCTTAATTTAGTAATATTTTCAAGGGAAAATTGTTTATCTTTTTCAATGACATAACTTATATTCTTTCACTCTCACAAAAAGATGGGACCCACACTTTTATTTTTTTTGTTAACTCTCTCTCTCCTATTTTATCTACCTTTTTCTCTCTCTTAAAATGATCAACTTTACAACTTTCAAATTACACACATTTTTACCTATTTTCATTGTCAGTAATTTTTTTTTATTTAAGAAAATTATATGTTGTTATATTGAAATTTGTCGACATGTCAGTAAATCTCAAAGTTGACCAAGATCTTTATTTTTTTTGTTTTTGATCATAAATGACTAATTATGAACTTTTACTCAACTAAGTACTTTTAAAATAAAAAAATCACTTATCATCAATTCTTGAGTACATCTACATATATTACGATCCTAAATTTAAAAGAATATAAATATTATGATTCTTTTTACAAAATTAAAATATTTTTGTTTAAAAAAATTGAAAAAGGTATAACTTTAGAAATATTACGAGCAATATATAATTCATACATGTTTTTATTTTGCTTTTAGAGGTGGGATTGGAAAGCAGCAGTAGTGAGAGCGAATTGAATTTGAGGCTTTATACAAAAATAATTGTAAAGGTTAATTTTTCATTTTAGATTCGGGGTTATTTTTGTCTTTTCAATCCATTTTTCTATTAATATTTTACTTTCAACCAAATATAGACTCAGAAAATTTAACCCAATTTTTTTCAGTAATATTTTAATCTACCAAACAATTTTTTTTTTATTTTCCTACCAAACTCACTTTCTCATTATATTGCTAGTAATTGTATTTTCCTGATAAAAAAAAATATCCTCTACCAAACACCCCCTTAAGCAATTTATCAAGGATTGTTGGAAAATATATAGAACCTTGGGGACGTTTGGTACAAGAGAAATTTTTATTTGTCCGAAAATCTCGAATTTTAAAAATATGATTTTTACATTCAGTTTACGATAATATTCGAAAATTTAAAATTTAGAAAAATTCAATTTTCCGAGAATCCTACAAAATGCCACGTACCAAACCACTCTTTGGAATTTTCTGTCAAACAGAAATAGACAAATGTTTAACATTGATATTACATGATTCAATGTGCAGCTTTTCAAACCTTGAAAGAGGTCTGAACCTTCAGTTTTTGTTACAAAATAAAAAAGTAACAGCATGCCTTATCCTAATACTCAATGCTTGTAAATTATATATGTAGACGATGGATTTTTATCAACATAATAAAAGGAATAGATTAACAAAAGAATGATAAATCTGTCCCTTGCTCTTATGAAATACCTAGCAATGAAAATTTTAAAAATAAAATAAAAAGAGAAACTCTTCTTGTCATAAATTTTCCTCAATGCACTAAGTAACGGTTGGATCGTTAGAGGGAGCTCATGACGAATAGAGATCATCATTCATGGGCTAATTGAGCAATCATATTAAGTGGGATTAAATACCACAATCAAACTTAAAATCTTAAAATATTAGATGCATGAGTATTTTCACTTATATAATATTAATCTAGTCCATTATTAATTAAAATGAGACTTCTCTCACTCACACTTAGATTCCCTGTAACTCTATATACTCTATAGATGAATGTAGGCCATGTTAAGTTGCAAACTTGAGATCTTCACTGTGTTGCATCGAATAATATATGAGGGAAAGTATACATTCAGGAAGTATAGACTGCAATAAGGCTCTACTAAAAAGAGATCTACCTTTTCAGGACTAATCATCATACGTAATTCTAAAATTGATGCCCAAGCAAGCACAAGGGTATTACTTGTACTACTACAGTTTGTAACATGGAAAGTATCAAGCAACTTCGACCGTTGGCACACAGGGAATCAGACAAGATATAATAAATTATATAGCATTTATCTATCCAAAATTCTCTGCTAAAATGCTATAAAAATAAAATGAACACTTATTAAATCAAGCTAAAACAACAAGAGTACTGCAAATTAAAAAAAAAATATCAAATTAATACATATCTGAAACAATTTACTAAAATAATGCAATCAGTTATGCACGAGGAAGTGCGCGACTAATTACGTATGGGAAAATGCACAACAATCATGTGACACAATCAGATGAATTACGCACACTCCTCATACATAAATAATATTGCATTACTTTGATAAAATATTTTAAATTTATATTAATTTTTTTTTTCAAATTTGCTTTACTTTTGTCGTTTTGCCCTTGAATCAAACCATATCCGCAAGACTAAAGAATGTAATACTTTTAAAGTGATTTTGTGACATTTGATAGCTGGAGCAAGTGCCAGCCAATCTGCCATGATAAAGAAATTGCCCAAATTCACAAGCAATTTCCACGTAGAGTGGCAAACGGTTTTGAAATTTAGTCAAGAAAAAGAGAATCAGATTCAAAACCAAATAGTGTGCACAAAGTCAATAAAGAAGACAAATTTTTGCAATATCCTCTCTTTTCCTTGGCCTGTGATTTCTACGAAACGTGGATTAAGAGAAAGAAATCAAAGAATTGACCCAAACCAAAAATATTGGTTCCCTTGAATCCCTGATTGTACTACCCGGCCTTGATCCATTGCACACGACAGACAGAAAAGAAAGTGGGGATAAAAAAACTTTGTTAGACGATAAATTAATATGGAATATCACTGTTACAGGAAGGATCATTCTTATTTTATTTATATTTTGATATCTATCTAATGTGACATATTGTATAAAATAAGCTTTTTTTTTTACTGTAAGTCCCATGTCATGTTGCATTACCATTTTTTTTTCTTTCCAAAATTAGTTTTCCAATACTATTTATTATTTAACATTTATGATAACCTTTTTAATTTCAATTAATACAAATGAAAATCAATTCTCAAGGAATGAAGTGTACTACAGGGGGATTGTAGTCCGTCGGATGCTAATATGTGTGATGCACTAAAGAGATTAGAATTTGCATGATCTGTGTGACTATGAAAACAATCTTGGCAGAAAATTGTCTAGAGTTAATTTTCATACTCACCACTTATGGTGATGATGCTAGACAATCACACTTATTCACAAGACTTCGGGCTTGATTTTCTAAAGATTAGACAATTCTAGTTCGTTTTATGCCAAGGGAAGGCTTCCATTTATATTTATCTTGTATTTTGTTTAGTTTTTGCTGGGCTAGGCAGGAGCAAATACATCATACAAGGAGATGAAAATATTTAAAATGTTGCAACTGCTGAGATTTGAACTCAAGTCTCATGAGAATTTCCAACAACAACTTATCACTGGGCTGAGTTTGTTTGTTAGTTAATTTGCATCATTTAATATATATCATATCATTTAATAGAATTATTTCAAAATTGCATCCAGTGGGGATCGAACACTTATTGTGAAGATATAAATTATAGTATTTACCGCTAAGCTACATTTGGTTCTTGATTCACTTGCACCATTTAAAATATTTATTATATAATTGAATATAAAATATAAATTTATATACATATCCGATTCATGCAGTTGAACCAGTGACCCACTGACCCGATACCCTGACTGAATCGATGACCAGTCCGAGTTTAATAAGATTGGTCTCACCGTGCAATCAGGTAAGTTATGCACACCATCAAGCATAACCCACGGGATTTTGCTACGTGACACAATTATGGTTGTTTGTCTCAAATTTCATTACCATGCACATGACACATTTTTATCCTCTTACTCAACGGAAATATTGATTAGGGTCATAAATATTTATTTAATCAAAAAATAATAAATAATAGCTAAACGACAATTTGAATTATTTCATTCAAAATGAAAAAAATCAATTACCATTTCATGATCGATTTTTTTTTTTCAATTTTGATGATTGAACTATTTTACCAAAAAAAAAAAATTATCAAATTGATTTCGATGTTAATAATTTTATATTAAAAAATATGATTTGATAATTGATTTTTTTCCATTTTTGATGAAAATAATTTGAATTATTTACCCGAAAATGAAACAAATTATCTAATCATGATTGTGGATGATAAATTTAATTTTTTTTAAATTTGAAAACAATTATTTCGCTGACCAGGATCGTGTCACGTGACACAATCTCGTGAACAATGCAGGGAGGTGTTTGCAACTCACTTGATTGCGTCATGTGATAATTGTACACTCCCCTTGTGTATAGTTATGTATTTCTCCTATGCGCAATTGATTGTATTATTTTGTAAAATAATTTTAAATCTATATTATG